TACTACCAGCCCTCTCAGCTTAACTTTCTCTTCTGATTCTTGCACTATACAGGACTTGAAGCTGAAGAGAGTGACTGGTTCTGCTAAGCTCCTCCATGGCCTTTACCACCTCAACCTTCCATTAGATAGTACACCTAACCACATCACAGCAGCTGTTAGTTCCCCCACTTTTGACATTTGGCATTTCAGACTTGGACATGTCTCCCATAGCAGAATACCACAGTTGAAACAACTTTGTGATTCCATAGAAACCAACAGTTTATTACCCTGTGATGTTTGTCATTTTGCCAAGCAAAAACGGCTTCCTTTTCCATCAAGCACAACTGTAACTACTGCTTGTTTTCAACTTATACATGTAAACATCTGGGGTCCTAACTCTTCTCCTACATATGATGGTTTTAAATATTTTCTTACCATCGTGGATGACCATTCCAGAATGACTTGGCTCATTCTTCTTCACTCCAAAGCAGAAGTCAGACCAAAATTGCAGAACTTCTGCACCATGGTCACAAACCAGTTCTCCAGTTCTGTCAAAACAATTAGAAGTGACCAAGGAAAGGTATTCCTAATGACAGATTTTTTTGACAAAACTGGAATCATACATGAAATGTCATGCATAGAAACCCCTCAACAAAACAGTAAGGTTGAGCGCAAACATCAACATATCGTAGCTATTGCTCGAGCCTTAAAATACCAAGCAAACCTTCCTATTGGTTTCTGGGGGGATTGTGTCAAGCATGCTGTCTTTCTCATCAATAGAGTCCCAACCCCAGTCCTTAACAACCTAACCCCTTTTGAGAAACTCCACCACAAACCACTTGATCTCCAAGACTTAAAAGTCTTTGGCTGCCTTTGCTATGCTTCCACCATCACCAGCCACATAACTAAGTTCCAGGAACGAGCCAGAAAGGGAGTTTTCCTGGGTTACACCCCAGGCATCAAAGGATACAAGATATATGACCTAAGCTCCCATGACATATTCACCTCTAGGGATGTCCATTTCTATGAAACAGAATTCCCCTTCCATTCAACACCTCCCTCTTCTTCCCCACCAGCACCTCATCCACCAACCTACACTTATCCACTCCCATTCTCTGCTGACACACCAGAACCAATTCCACACCACATTCCCCCAGAAACATCATCACCATCCTCCCCTCCTCCTGATCCCCAGCCCCATCCCAACCAATCTCCTCCTACAGACCTTCCCATTGCCATCAGAAAACCCACCAGAACAATCAAACCACCATCCAAACTACAAAACTACCATTGCAACCTACTTCAGCAGGCTTCTTCTTCCAGTCATTCTCTTCAGCAACATGTTCCAGGTATCACTTACCCTCTTTCTGATGTACTTGATTACAATTCCTTGTCTCCACCTTATCTCAAAATTATTCTTGACATCTCCTGTTACAAAGAACCTGAAACTTATGAAGAAGCAGCACTCAGGCCATAATGGAATCAAGCAATCAATCATGAGATTGATGCTCTTGAACAGAACCAAACTTGGGATGTTGTGAGCTTACCTGCCAATAGGAAACCTCTGGGCAACAAATGGATCTTCAAATACAAGTTCCTATCTGATGGCAGCCTTGAGAGAGAAAAGGCAAGACTGGTTGCCAAAGGGTATAACCAACAGGAGGGGCATTGATTACCAAGACACCTTTGCACCAGTAGTCAAGATGACTACAGTCAGACTCTTCTTAGCAATTGCAGCAGCAAGATCCTGGCATGTTCACCAACTGGATGTGAACAATGCCTTCCTTCATGGAGATCTCACTGAGGAAGTGTACATGAAGCTTCCAAAAGGCTACAAAGCCCCACCACACATCAAAAATCCAGTTTGCAGGTTGAAGAAATCTCTCTATGGACTTAAACAGGCTTCAAGACAGTGGTTCTCCAAGCTTGCAGATAGTCTTACTGGCCTTGGCTACACTCCAAGCCAGGTTGATCATTCTCTCTTTTATAAGTCCAATGGTTCCCACTTCACTTGTGTACTGGTCTATGTGGATGATCTTGTTGTAGGTGGCACTGATCTGGCAGAGATAAACACACTGAAGCAGTTCCTTCACACAACATTTAGCATCAAAGACCTCGGTCCACTCAATTTTTTCCTTGGAATTGAGGTTGCCAGGAATTCCTCAGGCATACATTTGTCCCAAAGGAAGTACACTCTTGAGATCCTCGAAGAGGGTGAAGTCCTGCTCTCCAAACCAGTCTCCACTCCCATGGATTACAAGATTCATCTTTCTGCCAGCCATTCTGATCCCTATCCAGATCCATCCTACTACAGAAGAATTGTTGGCAAACTGATATACCTCACCACCACCAGACCTGACATCAGTTTTGCCACCCAACAACTTAGCCAATACACGTCCAACCCCAGCAACCAACATTACCAAGCTGTGAGCAGAGTTTTGAGGTACTTAAAATCGGCTCCCTCCACTGGCCTCTTCTTCCCAGCATCATCTGATCTCCATCTCAAATCATTTTGTGATTCTAATTGGGCCGCCTGTATGGATACACGCCGCTCAGTCACTGGCTATTGCATATATCTGGGTTCTTCCCTGATCTCATGGCGGAGCAAGAAACAAAAGACAATCTCACGTTCTTCTTGTGAAGCTGAATACAGGGCCATGGCCAATGCAACTTGTGAACTTCAATGGTTGCTGTACCTTCTCAGTGACTTCCAAGTTCCACATTCAATGCCTGCCATCCTCTACTGCGACAACCAATCGGCTATTCATATCGCCGAGAATCCAACTTTTCATGAGCGCACGAAGCACATCGAAATCGATTGCCACCTCGTGCGCAAAAAGCTCCAGAGTGCAACAATCAAACTACTTCATGTCTCCTCTCTTCACCAACTGGCCGATCTTTTCACCAAGCCTCTGCCACCGGCGACATTTTCCACTCTTCTCTCCAAGCTTGGTGTGCACAATCTGTTCCCACCAGCTTGTGGGGGGTATCAGATGAAAATCCCCAAAACCCACTTTCAATCACAACAGCTACTTGCAAGCCCAGTTGGTCCGACATCGTTTCAGGAAGAGCGAGTGTATTAAAGCCAACGACGTCGTCTCGGGACAAAGGGAAGCAAAAGGTTGATCCACCGTCGTTGTGACAAAGAGACAGAGTGTCCCTTTCTTCCTTGTACCTTCGTTGTTCAGAACTCTGTTTCTGCTTTTTCCTTTGCTGTAATCGACAGCTCACTAGAGCTTGTCTTGTTCCTCCATTTCCTTGTATAAAACCCAAAAGATGATCAATGAGAAATCAAGTTAGGGTTTCACACCACACATTCGTTGTTACATGTACTAGTCTGGCCGAGGCAGGCCCAGATTGCTATGGAGTCTGAAGGTAAAAATTCGAATTGTTTTATGCATCGGCTAGACTTGAGGCAAATGTCGTTTCCATTGTGATTTGGTTAGATCCGGTGCACGGTTAAATAGTTGCAAAGCTCTATGCTACCTGACTAAGATGAGGGTTAAACACATGGTGTCATTCACCTTTTTGTTGAGTTGCAGTTATTTAGCGTCTCCAATAATGCAAATTTGGATCCCTATTGCCACTTTATCAACTTTAGCAATTCACTCGCTCTTAATTTTCATATAATCTATATCAATGTCATTCAATTTTTTATATAAAAACCATAGTTTGGGTGCTACTATTTATTATTATTATTATTATTATTATTATTATTATATAAAAATCATAGTTTGGGTGTTACTATTTATTAAGCGGTAATTTCGTAATTATTTCAAACTTCAGGGGTATTCTTCTAAAGGCAACATAAGTTTTCATCCTTTTCCATTTTTTTATTTCTTTTACCCATATGTTAACCTAGTATTGGTTCCTTCTTCTATTTCTTTTAACATCATTTTTCTTTTATTTCTTTTGTGCACATATGATAATATTTTATTTTATCCCTTTTTTTCTTTCATTTATTTTCATTCAAATTCTCGTTCTTATATAAATACCATAGTTTGGATGTTACTATTTATTAAGCGGTAATTTCGCAATTCTTTCAAACTACACGGGTATTCTACTAAAGGCAACATAAATTTTCATCTTTTTCCTTTTTTATTTCCTTTATTTTATTGGTTCCTTCTTCTTTCATTTCTTTTAGGCAGATAGGTTGACCTTTTATTTTCCCTATTTTTCTTTAATTTCTTTTCATTATCGTTTTTATATGCTAAACCTACGTTTTCGTTCGTATTTTTGCTTATATCTCTCTTGCTTGGTATAAAAACAAGGGGACAATCTTCATTCCGTATCAGAGAGGACGAACGTGATATATGAACATACAAAATCCGTTGTTACTTTCTCCGTCTTTCTTCTATGCTTTCGTTATGTTTTCATATTCTCTATTTCTCTTCTTTATCCATCTCAATTATGAGTTTAGGGTGAATTTTGAATTTATATTTCTATTTGTGGGGTTGAAAAGATGCATAATCAGTTATCTTTTGACCTTTCCATTTGATAACACTTACTGAGACCAGATAGCTCCATTACGATGATATTGTCCGCTTTAATTCAAATCAACACATATTTACTTTTGGGTTTCTTCTCCAAAATGTCTATTACTAATGAGTTTCGTGAACACTTATATATTAGGGTATTTTCTCTTGTATATATGATAATGCGGTACTTGGATGGTATCATAACCATATTCAAACTGCATGAAGCAAACAATCAATTTTGGTGCCTGTGAAAATTGTTGCATCTTATAGAGATGACCTTTTTTCCTAGATGGATGCATGAGAGAGGGAGAGATATTCTGCTAGAGCGGCTACCACTGCTGCTAGGGGGAAGAAACCCTATTGCGTGAGAGAGGGAGATGATACATGGGAAAGGGAATTTATTTTATAAATTTCACAACGATGATTTTACCTTTCGTATCCAATTGATCATTGGATTAAAATAAATATAGTACCACACAATAAATTTACAGCTGCCAAAGTATGCTTCATCCGACACCATAACCCGTCATCACCCTAGCATGTTTAGTCGCGGTACATGAAAGCAAGTTTGAATCGACCACCCTCACAAACCAGGAAGAAAGGTGTACTTGCCGATACACTAGAGTTTTTTGAATATGGAAGTTGAGTAACTCCGTAACCATTATAGTCAGTGAAACAACAGTGATTGCCGTCATAAAAAGCCATCATTGTCAAGCCTCCATCCGAGTGGGTTACCTTCGTAAACCACCAGTTGTCTTGGTCGAATGTGGAAATGCCACTGTTTATATAAATCTTGGGGGGAGGCGGCCAATCTTTGGCCTCTTCATCTACCATACTCAAATCTATGATTAATGGACACGACCAACAGCTTTTATCGCTCATTTGTGAATGAAAGTACATATTAATACCTGATTGTCCGCTCACCCCGTTCCAAATATCACGTGGCACCGGCCGTCTTCTGCTTATGTGCTTGTTGACACCATAAAGGGACAATAACTTAGTTGTAGTTGTCTTTGCCCATGATTGCTTGCAACGCTGCTCCAACGCATGACCAAGTTGTAATAGTTGGTCCCTTTGCTTTTTCGTTTCAGCCGCATTCTCTTTCATCATATCTTCCCTCTCATTCACAAGCTTTTGCAATGCTTCGATATCTTTTACCCCCTTTTCTAGCCTTCTTGTCATATCTTCCTCCTTTTTCGTTACCTCTTGCCTCAACTCTGTATTATCCTTCTTCAACTGGTGCCATACATCACTATCCACCAGTATTTTCTCACTTCCGTCTAATGTTGATGCTACTTTGTCTACCTTTTTACCACTTCTTAGATTCTTCACTTCCTCCCTTAGTATTTCCAAGTCCTCGTCTTTCTCTTTTCTCAACATCTCCATTTCATCATATTTTACCTTCAACATTTTCCCCATCTCCTTATCTTTTTTCTTTCCCAACTCTCGCAGCTCTGCCTCCTGCTTCTCTCTCGCATCCTCGATCTCCTCTTTTAGTTGTTGTATCTCCGCATCCTGTTCTTCCATCTCCATCATCTGCTTCCCTAACTTCGCATCTTTCTCGCTCGCCATCTTTTCCAACTCCTCGTACATCTCCTTGCTGCTCACCCCATCGGTTATTGGCTGCTTCTCCCGTTTCGGCATGATGTATTTGAACACGAGTCGTGGCCACGTGGTGGTGCTCACTATGATGACACCATGATGTGGCCAGTTGAAAAGATCATTCAATCGGAGATAGTGAATTCCAAAGCTTTTATGTTCGCCCAACTCGGTAACATCTTGAAAACAGTGACCTTGCGGACTCACCCTCAATTGCATCCGGGTGAGTGTTGTGCTAGCTTGGTCAATGCCTCCCATCCTTCGATTGTCCCGTGTCCATCGAAGAACATCAGCCCGTCATAGGATTCATCTTCCTCGTCTGTTGATGCACTGTCGTCGTCGTCATCGCTTTCATCATGATCGCGAGCTGTGATGCTGGTGACTTCCTTCCAATGTTTCTTTCGAATGGAGGAAGGATTAATAGTAGGGTTAGCCAACTCGTAGACTTTGAGGGTGGTTCTGTCCGAGGAAGCAACGAAGTGCTTGTCGGACTTGAAATCGAAGAGAACCATAATATGCTAACTGCTTTAATTCTGGTCGAGATGGGTATCGAACAGATTGGGATCTAATACTAATCTTGATCGGAGATTGGGGATGTAATTGCAGAATTTCTATGGTGTCCACCATGTTATATATAATAACGTCTTCTTAACTAAATTTAATTATCATTATATATAATAGTGTGTCTATTAATTAATCAGAAAATGGAGATTTCTAGGAAAGGATGAGTTAGCAGTTAGCACTTAAACATTGACTCTTACAGAAATGTCTCAGCCTCTTTATCCGACTCACCTTGCATTTTACTATTTTTCCAAGTCTTAGTTGGCGCTAGGAAGAGTTTGTCATGTTCGGACTTTGGACTACTTCGAATATGACAATTTTCATATCTATGGGGAAAAAAATGAGCCAAGTATATAATAGTTATATAAGTTTTGTATTACTATGCTATTTTTTTTTTACTACCATTGTATAAGTCTGTATCACTGCGATGTATATTCTACGACTATGGTATAATTTCATACTATTATCAATTAACAAGTCCAATTTTATTGTTAAATATGAAAGTGAATGAAATTTTGAAATTATAAATTATAAGGAATCTAAATTTTTTATGAAATAAATAAATTTAGCCTTCAAGTACAATATCTTACGGTGCAACTCTAAAATCACATTTATAATTCAAGGGGTTGATCTAATAATAATGAAAGGACGAGAAAATTCATCATATCTTGAATTCGTATATTAGAGTCAACAACCATAAACTGATCATAATGCTTCTGACCAGTTTATCGTCAAGTTTATGTATATATATGACAATGGCTAGCGTACGTCAGTTGTACACTATACGTCTGTGTTCACAATTGGTTTTTGCACTTCAATATATTCTGTTTAATCAGAAGCGTCGATTATTATTTTTCAGATTAAATGAATCTTGTGCCTTGGTTTAGAGAATTAGAGACTGGGGTTCACCCATTAGAGGTTAGGGTATAGTATAATCCCCCCAAACTCCGGTTAATTCATGCTCTAAATAGTAAAACTCGACGGGTGTACATAATACTTTCGAATTTTAAATAGTAATGTTATGTTAACTTTCTTTATAAAAGGTCATAGCTCCAAAAGTCTCAAATTCCGACTAATTACAAAGAATCATGGAGAATTTCCTACAATTGTCGTGTTTGTGAATGAAAAAATGCGTTGTTAGTATGTGACCGGCGAGACTGAAGCGTTGATAGGGATTGGTGTGTGTCAGTTGCTAGTGGCGGATTAGTGATGCATGGGATGAGTTGTGACTCATTCTTGAAGGCGGTGATACTGATGAAACGACGAGCTAAGTGAATAGAGCTTGATGGAGACGACGAAATGGATGATCCTGTTCGTCGCTTGTGAAATTTGAGAGAAAGGGGAAAAAATATTACTGGAGAGGACAAAGGAATGACAAGGAAAATCATATAATAGAAATGAAGAATATAAATGAGTAGGCAAAGAAATAGTTACAAATTTTGGACTAAATAGGTGCCATTTGAAAATAACTTATGAAAAGAAGGCATTTTAAAATGATTCGCCATACTCATTTGGTATTTTTTACAAACGAATCGCTCACATATTACTCTTTAACAAACGAGTCATTTAATATCAAATGTTTCAATGGAATTATTTCAAACTAAAACAATCATACAAATGCACTTAATAAACCGGCAACCCCAAGAAAGAACCAACCCAACAAAACAAATTAGATGGCCTAGCCCAACGGACTTTATCATTATTTTCTTTAGTAGACTTTGCCGAGTCAATAATACCATTTAAGTACTTCCCCCGTTCTGAAATAAGCCGCCGACCCCAACAAAACAGATTACAAGTCAATTTTTTTTTGGTGAGACAATTCAATTTATTTGTAGTGGGTGAGAGAGGTGCATGCATTTGTGAATTGTAGTTATCCTATGTGAAGTATCTTTAATTCCATTTTATTAAACTGTGCCACCACGCTCCAAAGCTTGCTCGTTGTTGTTTCACCCACAGGTTTAGACTTTAGCCAAATAAATTGAAATCAAATGAGGCCAAATAACCTTAACCTTTTTATTTTTGTTTACCTTTAAAAAAACAACTTGTATCACATTGATTAACTATAAGAGAATTAATGGAGTTATAAGGCCAACTCAACATTAATAATTAAAAGAGCTAGATGGGCCTTGTTGGGTTGAGTTTTGGGGCCTAAGTGGCCAAGCTCTTCTCCATACATGATGGTCGACCCGTCTTCTTGTCTCACATAGTTGGACGATGCCTACAACCCTTGGATGAAATTTGGTTCCCAAAAACTAAGTATGGAAACAAGGCGAATAGGAGGCCATCTGAAAACTAAGTATTAAAACAAGGTGGCACAACGCGGTGCCAAACGACCGGGTACCAAGCCGGATACCAAATAGGAGGCCATCCAAAAACTAAGTTTAGAAACAAGGCGGCACAACGAGGTGCCAAACGATCGGGTACCATGACCGGGTACCCAAGTAAGGGGGTCAACGACGGGGTATCAAGCCGGCAAGGCAGGGCTTGGTACTATGACATAGAATTTGGCTAAGTATATAGCCAAAGGGGTATCAAGCCTGCCTTATATATAAAATTTGGCTAAGTATAGAGGCAAAAGGATACCAAACCAGCAAGGCAGGCCTGGTGCTAAGACATATGAAAATTGGCTAAGTATGAGGCCAAGAGGGTACCATGCCGACAAGGCGGGCTTGGTACAAAGACATGAAATTTGGCTAAGTATGGAATCCCATGGCCAGGGAGCCATACGACACGATGTCATACCACCCATAGCAAGAGGTTACAAGCCGGCAAGCCGTGGCCAGGCAACAGGGGGGCCAAGCTAGGTATCAACTAAGAGAGCCATACAGAAACTAAGTCTGGATATCAAGCCGAGAAGACAAACTTGATAGCCAGACATCAGGGTACCAAACCAACAAGACAAGAAATTTGACTAAGGCGAGGTGGCTAGCTGAGGTGGTCACCCAACTAGGTATAAAACAACCATGGGTGGATCAGCCAGGATGCTGAGCTGAGGGTGTCAATATGATGGGGCCATATGGAGACTAAGTCCCAAGATGGGCTTGGTGGCCCCTAAGAGTACCAAGCCCGCAGGGTGTAATGTACCCACTTGATAAGATTACAGAGGCTAAGTATGGAGACCAAGCCGGCAGGCTGACTTGGTAGCAATGGTATCAAACCGACAATATTGGCTTGATACCAAGATGACAAGTTGGTGCAATGACAGTCTCTCTAAGACTAAGTGTGGAGACTTGGGGGGTAAAGGGGTCAAGTTCTCATCCTGTCTAGGTGGATAATATGGCCTAGCTATCAAGACGGTTCATCGAGGTGGCTAGCAAAATGAGGAGCGTGGAGTCGTCAGGGCTATGAAGGATGTGATCAAGACTTCATCACGCAGGATAAGGAAATGAGGGTCAACACCAACCCGGCCCGACATCGAGACTATCAAGTACCCACCAGCCCCAAGGTGGGACAAGGGCCCCCAAGGCGACGGTTACCAACTAGTCACCAAGGCGGTGACAAGGTCCCCGAGGCGGTTTGGAGCAAGAGGCCAGCCAGCAGTTACTATGACGGTTACCAAGGCAGTTACACCGATGGCTATAAATAGGAGAAACGAAGACGAGAAAAGGGTTCCACAACCAAACATTTGACGCACAATGTCGAAGTTTATCTTTTCTCTGCAACTTACCTTTTAGTTTTTCGGAGCTCTCATTGAACCTCCATAGGAGTAGAGTAACGCAACTTAGCTTGTTCCCAAAAAACCATAAAAAACATTAAACACCCTCGTTCGAACATTCGGAGAGGAGTGAACCGTGTTATTGTCGTTGTTCAAGAAGTCAAAGGTGTATTTATTGAGTTCAAACACAAGTTTTTCCTCGCCGGAAAACAAATTGGCACACCTGATGGGACTCTGTGTGTTTGATTTGATGGCTCCTTGACTGAGAGAACATGAAGGTGATATTTCACCAGGAGTTGTGAAGGATTTGGCGGTCAAGTTCAAATTTGGCCAAGCAACAGTAAGTGTTGTCGGAAACAATGGCATGATTGAGATCTTGCCACCGGCGGCACCTTGTGTCGATGTAACCACCACTGCCATGTCACTCTGCACAATAGTGGATGATAACTGCAAGATAGTGGTGGAGAACCGTCAAGTGATGGTGGAGATTCGTCGATTGATGGAAGAGAATTTGAATGGACTTGTTAGAAGTTCACAACAGACAAGTCTAAAACTTGCTTCTTTTAGTTCTATTTAGATAGACGTTTGGATGAATTGCTTGAAGCAACTATAGAAAATACAAATTGCTTGGATGATCTTAAAAAAGATTTTATAGAACCAGTGGTGCGAGAAATTTCTTTACCAAAAAATGGTATAGATCTGCCACCAAGTATTGCTACTGAGTATACAAGTATCCTGTTCTCCGGTGGCCGAACTACCCAGCCACGGTCAGGAAACTTACCGCCTCCGGCGACAAGTCAACTACCCCTTCAGCATAGTGGTTATAATAAAAATCTCTCACCCACGTTCACTACTCATGGGGAACATCCGCTTATGCAAACAATTACTCTAGGAACCATCCATGAGGCTAGATCTGGCCTTACTGTGACGAGTGGGGAAGGAGTAGTTTCTGTAGATTTAATACCAAAATCTTGCTCAACTTTGGTGTCATCCATCCCCAACGGGTCAGCCCAACCATTAGGGAGGCATGAAATCCTACCAC